CCCTCCCTTCCCCCTTTCTCCTTCCCTCCCTTTTTTTTTTCACCCCATCTTCCTTTCTTCCTCTCTCCTTTTTTCTCTTCAGTTACATCCATTGAGGATGTAACTGCTCTACGCCTGGCACTATGTTATGTGCTGGGCCCACAGCCATCGTCACCCAAAAACATCCACGTCGGTAACTGAGGCCTTAGTCATTTCTCTCGCGGTTACAGGAGGGAAACCCAGTGTTCAGTGTAACTAAGTGCTGTGTGGCTTGGTGTTTTCTGAGCACACTGGCCAGTGTCCAGGCAGGATCCTAGTGATGTACCCGCTAAAGCACATCGCCCTTGCCCTCGTCACTCTCAGGCCATTTGTCCTGTCCTTATACCATCGGTTTTGACTGCCACGTGCACATTCATTTAGAGTGCGCGGCCTCTCAAAAGAACACAAATGCCCCTTTTGTCATAAGGGTTCAGGAGTGGGAAATAAGCCCGTGAAGAGGGGAAGGGAGCGGGAGCCCTGGGGGTGGGGCGAAAGAGTGGGCTTGGGGCCGACTCCGACTTCACTCTTCCAGGGGAGCGCTGTCGCTGTGTGCTGTGCCCTCAGTCCCTGCCCAGCAGCATTCTTAGTTCCTGCTTCCTAGTGACAGGTTCCCTGAAGCTCTGCTTTCACTTCCTCCCCATGGCAGAAACGGGCATGGTGACGGGCCCTTCTATTGAATCCCTGCTAACTCAGTGGTTTTCATAGACACACACACACACACACACACACACACACACACCCTGTGTCTTTCTCGTCAGGGAATGGGCAGTGTGCAGACCTCCACGGTTCTATTTTTGCTTCCAGTAGCTTGGAATCAAATTTCACAGCTATAATATTAGCCTTCGTGGCTTGCAAGATTGATGCTTATAAAAAAAAAACAAAAAACTTTGTCTTAATGCCTTCTATTTTTAGTCATAGCCAACCCTTTTCAAGCAAATGAGAACTTAATAATTATTGATCTGCATCGAGCAGAGAACTCCAGAGAGACTTCAGCTTCCTGAGCAATGAGTCAACGGGCCAAATCTGCAGGATGTCCATCCACCATTTCGAAGGTACCCAACGTGGTGCTTTGCTGCTGGGAGGTCGCAGCATCATGAGTATAATGACTTATAGCCGGAAAACCTCAATTAAAATTCACCCTCTCCCTTCTCAAAATTCACTTTGGCCCCAGGCAAGCCATCTTACCTCTTCGAGCCCCAGTTTCTTCATCCATAAATGGCTCTGTATTATTCTTCAGAGAGCTGTTGTGGGGATTAAAGTAGATAATGCTGGTGAAATTACTTTATAATTTATAATAACTGTAGTGCTGCAAAATGGGGTTATATCCACTAGGTTTGTGACCTCCCCAGAAACCTGGGAGGGTTCCTCTCAAGCAGCCTTCTCAACTACAAGCATTCTGACCACTCATATCTTCAGCATTAAGAAAAATTGTTGTCAACATTGTCAACAGAATCATATAATCTCCAATGTGTATATCACAGTACCCCAAAGCTTTGCCTTGGCCCTCGGTCCCTTGCAGACTCTGAGTGAGCAGCTGTCAGAGTTGAGATGTTGGAAGCTTCTGCTACTAAGTTCAGATGCCCGTGGGCTGCTCTGCTGGTGGCAATGCTGACCAAGCCCTCCCCAGTGGCATCTCTTCTTCATCATTCACTTAGACTCTACCTTCTTCCCTAGACATTGAATTCATTTCCTTGATTTGAAGCCACATTTCTAGGCTGATGACCCCAAAATCTGTATCCACAGCCCACGCCTCTCTTGGTGCCACAGACTAGCACACCCAGTCACCTAAGGGGCAGCTCCTCCTGGGAACCTCATGAATACTGGAAACCCAACATGTCCAAAACCAAAGTTGTCTGCAGCCCCCTCCCCTCATAATTCCTCTCCAGACCTTTGACATCTGCCCGTTCCTCTTCCCCCTCGTCGCCACCACTTTGGTTCAGGTCCTCATTATCTCTTCCTAGGACAATTGTCATAGCCTCCTCATTGGTCTTCCTGCCTCCCACCTCTTATCTTTCTAAACCATGGTCCTCACCAGCTGCCAGGTAGAGCTTTAAAGATGCTACTCTGATCAAGTCAGCCTTTCCTCCCACTCATAAATTTTAAATGCTCTGTGCACCCGAGGTTCTCTGGGATCAAGCCCCTGATCCTCTTTCCATCTTCATTTTCTGCCAGCTCCACTCACGCACGACATCCCAGCATGTCCAACCAGAACAAATGACTTGAAGTTCATCAAGTGACATGTTCCCTCACATCTCCCACATTTCTACCTTTAACATGTGCTGTCTCCATGGCCTGGAAAGCCCCCATCTTTTCCTTGTCCGCTTGGCCAGCTTCTATTTGTTCATCATGGCTGGTCCAAAGCCTCGCCCCCTCTTTGAAGCTTTTCTTGACTCCTGCAGACAGAATTGGTGGTTTTTATAGCAATTTGTATGCCTGTCTTTTATTGCCTCGTATGACAATTGTTTACATGTCTTTTTTCTCATACTAGACTGTGATCGTGGGCAAGATGTGTTTGTAATTCATCTTTGTGTGACAACTGCTTAGAACAATGCTGGCTACATAGTAGACTCTCTGAGGATGTTTAAAAAACTCTATGAGTGATTTAATTATCACACCCATTCTTACAGCGGCAAGGAGCACAAGTGAAGCCAGGTCAATATAATAAGAGGAATAAGAGCTATGAAGTCCAATACAGATGCCACTGGCCACACGTGGCTATTAAGCACTTGAAATGTGACTAGTTTGAAATGATATACACCATATGTGTAAAATACACAGAAAATTTCAAAGACTTAGCATGAAATAAAAGAATGTAAAGTATGTCATTAATATCTTTGACACTGATGACTTGTTGAAACGATCATCTTTTGGACGTATTGGGTTAAATAAAATATATATTATTACCTATCTCTTTTTACTTTTCTAATATGGCTGCTAGAAAGTTTTAAATTACACATGTGGCTCACGTTTGTGCCTTGCATTATACTGCCATCAGACAATGGTGATCTAGAGTATTCATTCATCAGACAAATATTTCTTAAGCACCTGGTACCAGGCCAGGTGTTTAGATGATGAGGCTAGAATAGTAAATAAGGTTCCTGACCTCAGGGAGCTTATATCATAACACAGAACAGGAAGCAGATGTGTAAGCAAGATAATTTGGGAGCGTATAAGTGACGAAGTACTATGAAGAAAGCAAAGCACGGTGCTTGATAGAGAGGGTGGGGGAGGCATGGGAAGGCAGCCGGGTAAGGTCTTCTACAGCAGGCAAGGTCAGAGGCAGGGAGGTGAAGGAGAGACTAGGACATGAGAGATGGCACAGACCTGAACTCGAAGAGGGTGCTGCAGAAGGGGAGGAGCGCACAGACTTGAGAGATATTTGGATATTAGGGCTGCTGTCAGCAAAAGAATCCGGCATAGGCCAGGACTGCTGTGGACTCCGGGGTTGCTGGCCTGCATGACTGGGGGGATGGTGGTGCCACCGCAGATGAAATAAAGCCCGAGTGGTCTTGCGGCAGACCAGGAATTCCACTTGGCCATGTGGAGTGTGGGGTGACTGCGGGATGCCCACAATGCAGCACGAAGGAGACAGGTCAGTGCTAGGATGATTTGGGACCTATCGGCATAGACCGAGTCATTGAAACCGCACATAGGTGAGAGGGGACAGAGGAGATGGCAAATGGAGAGGAAACTCAGGTCCAGGGAGCGCGGTCTTAAACTGGAACATAGTCGAGCATGTGTCTGAGTCGAAGGCAAGGACCCAGGGCAGCTAGAGGGGTTCGGGGGAAGAGAGAAGGCGAGCTTGGTGCGGCAAGGTTTGGGTGGTGATGGTGGGGTTGCCCTGGCCTCAGAGGGTGGCTGGAGGAGAGAAGGGTCTCAAAGGAGGAAGGAGCTTGCTGAAGGTTAGGAGTAGTGGTGGAAGACGGTGACGTCCAGGTAAGGACATCTCTTGAGGAAACTTTGGCTATGTCACAGTTCGGGCTAGGGCTTCAACATTACGTCCTTGGAGTTGGAGAAGCCTCCAAGAAGCACCGGGGTCCAGGATTAGAAAGCTGGCTTTAGAAAAGCTGGATGACCCTGGAGCAGGTCATGGCTTCTCTGTGGTTCATTTTCCCCTCCGTCTGTTCAGCTCGCTGGCAGTGGTAAGGACAATAAGTACATGTCATACCTCTCTTGGTGGTTAGAGCTTTGTTCTCCATCAGAAATTCACATCCCTTCCCTTTCTCAGCCCGTGGACCAATCCAGACTCAGTCCCCGGGGCCTCTCTGGGACCTCCTCCCCAACATGGTCCAGCAGCCAAGGCAGTATTGGCACACGTTCTTCTGCCTAACGAGCAGGCATTTGCCGGACTATATTTTGCGTGCAGAGCCTTGTCTTCCTGTCCTTGTTCCCCATTGGGCCCGGTGCAGGCTGGCTGACAGTTATCAGGCCTCCAGGAAGTCTATCTGAGATAGACCGGAATGGCCACTGGATTCTCTAAAGTTATGGCATTCCTCTGAGCGTCTGTTTCAATCCAAAAAATGGGAATTGAAGGCGACAGTATAGCGAGCAAAGGCAGCACTTTGCGCATGTGAACTTTGAATCCACAGCCACACTGAGGTGGGCTGCCCCCGTTTCATAGAGAAGGTTAAGGACACCGGATGTTAAGTAACCTGACCAAGGTTATCAGCTGGCAAGTGAGCAGCCACAGTTTAAAACTCCACGCGGAGGCTGTGCTTGCTGCCCGCTGATGACTGGCTGTTCGGTGGACAAGTTCCCAGGTTTCGGGGTCACTTGCCCCTTCCCCACCCTTGGCCCAAGGTTGCCCACTTGGATGCTTTCGCAGGCCGTCAGGCTCTGACACCCCCGGTCTGGCTCCACCCTCCACTGCCCGCAGCCCAGCCCGAAACCTCCTCAGGTCATTGCTGACAAGCTCCCGACCGTGCCGCCACCTTCCCGCAGAGCGTGCGCTACTGGGGCACCTGTCCCTCCGCTGGCGGGTGTCGCCGCCCCTCGGCCGGCCAAGCGCTCGCGGCTGAGCCCTGGGGCCCCTGGGC